TCTTTTAAATGATATTTTTGGACGTCCAAGTTTGGTCACTGAAGCAGTTGTTTTTTATCCACCGTTCAATGTTTAGTGGGATAATTCACCTTTCATGTTCTAAATCCTGTCCTTCTCTTCAGGTTTTCAACACAAATCCTCGTTACATCCTGTACATTCATCTGGTAATCATTGATATCCTGCTGCTCATCATGTTCACCCTCCTTCAAGTCCTCAATTACATCATTTTCACTCTTCCTGTCCCATTTTGCATCATTTTATTGTTGATTTCCATAATTTGTAGCCAGAACAATCCCCTGACCCTCGCTGTGATGGCAGTAGAGTGTCATATTGCCATATGCTTCCCTCTCCAGCACTCACAGATATGTACAGTCAAAAATGTAACCATTGTGATCACAGTGATATGGGGGCTAAGTTCACTTACAATCCTGCCAAATTTATTCACCAGCCTGGCCACAGAATCCAGAGATTTCTTTCATTCAAGAGTCTTCTGCCTTAGAAAAAAAACTTTCAGACCTCCTGAACTAGAAAAGAAGAAAAATATATCCAACATTGTATTTCTGGTTATTGTTTGGCTCACCCTTGTCTACACATATTTCAGAATCCTTTTCGCTGCACAGGCAGCTGCTGCAAACGCCAGGAAAGCAAGAAACACTGTACTGCTGCACGGCTTCCAGCTGCTACTGTGCATGCTCAACTACGTGTATGATTTGCTGCTGAATGGTTTGACATCCTTGTTCCCAAAAGGAGTCCTGACTATTCGCTACACAATCTCAGTATTCGTTCACATTCTGCCTCGACTTGTTAGTCCACTTGTTTATGGGATACGAGACAAGGCATTCAGAAGATATCTGAGGAAATATCTGTTCTACTCACCAAAGGCTAATGTTAACAAAAGTTAAAAACAATGCCATCAGCTCTTTTAATTTAAAATACTGAGATTGAGTAGTCTTTGTTTATCTTATTCTATTGTCCTTTTTTGTTTGCATATCTTTCTAATCTAATGTCACAGTGAATGTGTCGAACAGTAACTTTCACTATATGGCAATTTTATAAGACAAGATTTTATAAGACACTTTAGTGTTCGGAAAGACAAAAACTGCAGAATTCAACCAGAGAGCTGAAAATATGGACCGAAAAAAAACTGGACAAAATAAAAGCAAAGTTAATAAAGATGCAAGAAAATGTTGCACAAAAAGGCAAAACAAAAGCCATCAACATAAGAAGAAGATATTACCAAAAGAACCAATGCAAAAACAGTAAGTATAACTAAATAATACAGAAAAATATTTTAAATATATACATTTTTAGGAGCAATGTCAAGGAACCCAAGAGCTCTAAAACAGTAAGAAGCGCCCACCAGAAGATGTCAGTAGAGCCCAGCCAGGATTTTTCAAGCCAATATTTGGTGACTTAAAAAATGGTAAAACTTTATTTCAGACACATGAAATATAAAGAGTCTTTCCTGACATTTCTTATGTGCAGTTATTTATCACATTATCTATATTTAGTTGAATGCAGTAATTTTTCCTTGATAAAATAAGATCCTAAATACATTCTTCTGAGTTTAAGAGTTTCTCTTTAATTAACTAATACATTCCAAGTGATATCTTTAAATGACTTAATGCATTAAGGTAAAAACACTAAGGTTTACAGAATGGAAAGTTCAGCATTAGTGTGGTGCTCATAAAAATAGCAGCATGTTGATTGATGCTGATGACACCTACCTTAATGAGCTATTACATTTTATTCTTGAGAAGTGCATGATCTATAGTCTGCTTTATTTCTTGTCAGAGTCATAGTACTTGTGTAAATGTGTTGTTTCTTATTAGAGATCAACTAACAACAATCTTCAATAACTATCTTCTTCTAAAACCATCTTCAGTCTTCTGTAGATGAGGCTTTTTAAAACCAAAACCATTCATTTCACCATTCATTCTTACTGTTGGATTCATTCTTATCCAACAGTAAGA